CCTAATGCCTCTGAATCAGCACATGAGCCCACATTTCAGCCACTGCAAAGAAAAAAAATGAGTTAGGTTTGCCGAACAAGGAATTTTCTTTTGTCTCTCTCCCTTTCTCTCTCTCTCGCTCAATCTCCCTCTCTCTCTCCCCCCCCCTCTCTCTCCCTCCCTCTCTCTTCCCCTCTCTATCTCCTTCCCTCTCTCTCTCTCTCACACACTCTCACACTCACACACACACCTACACACGCGCGCGCGCGCTTCATAAGCATATTACTAGTCTTTCTAGATCTATAAATACCCAGAACTACGACAACTGGTCTTATCCATGAATTTGTCATAACGTCAACTTCAAGATCATGCTTCAAAAATCATTAAAGGAAACAAACCTCGCCCAGAGAGAATTTGACGGCGCCATTCTGTAGAGGGTCTCGCTTCTCAAAAATATCTGAAAAGTTTAACAAACATCGTGAAAAACAATTTCTCTGAAACAAACTTTATGTGAACCCAATACATAAATCACCATTTTAAGAATGCAAAAATAAAGATTTGATTGATTATAGCAAAAAAGCGGGTGACACTCACTGAACGCAACTGAGAGATGGAGAACTGCACTGACAAAGTCCCCGAACCTTAATGTTCCGTCTTTTCTCATGTAGCGCAGCACCAGCGTGGATACAACCTCCGTGTTCAGTTGAAATCCTGAGACAATAATAGGATATGAATATAATTTGCACTTGAACCATGATCAAACATATCCCGACGCTTTGCTGTAACTGACCATGAGGTGCTGTCTATCCTTACATTTGTAGTCTTTTATATCTGTTTAGGCAGGTAATATTGCTTCAGTAATGTTTCGTAAATTAAATCATTATTCTCTAGTAACTGCGTTACATCTAGCCTGCAGCTCAGCAAACCGCAATTAAAATCCATTCCTTTGTTCCTTCCTTACCGCAGAGAAAAGAAAAAAGAAACACTGACCGACATCCTCCAGGGCATCTCGAAGTCTTTCAGCTTTCAGGATTCCAGTTCGCTCTTTCGTGTGGCTCTTGAAGGCATTCTGCCAGAATTTCAGACTCACCATCAAGTCCTTGAAATCTGAGAATTTCAGTCTCCCTGTGGATGAACTCTGTGCACACGTTAAGGAAGAAAACGGGTTCTTTGTGGGAAAATATAGCGTAGGGTTATTTATTTTCCACATAAGTGACTTAAACAAAATATAACTAAAATAACAATCTTTCAGAAAATGTTGATCTTACAGTTATAGTTATAAAATTTTCTGTCCTTATATAGATTATCATGCAGAGAAAGGATACATCTAGAGCCAGGATGACTTGTCTGCAGATGTCAAGACTAGCACAACTCTTGATGTAATCTGGAAAAGAACAAAAAATAATATAATTTTATAAAAAACAGCATCATATTCATCCTTACACATTACATTGCAAAGCAGAGTTGTATAATAAGTTGGTTACTGTGGAGATCCAAGAAACGTTATAAGCCAAAACAGAAATTCTGAATTAAAATATGTAAATCAATATTTTACAATAATTCATTTACTAATAATCCATTATGGAATCTAAATTTGCATAATGCTTGTATATGGGTTCTTAATGCCATATATTTATAAAAAATATATATATACGTTTGTTATCGAGGCGAAGTTGCGCTTGATGATGATAATCATTCCGTAATTAATTGGTAGGTGGCGTTAATTATCTGGTAATTGAAAAGGTAGCGTCGTTAATTTTTGGGTAACTGACAAATTGGTGATGAGAATTATTTAACGGTTGACAGGGTGGCGATGCTAATCAACTGATAACTGACAGCTTAATAATGATAGTTATTTGGTAAAAGAAAGACTGAAGATAATAATCATATGAAATGCAACGATGATATACGGACATGTTGTATTCAAGTACCGTGTTTTCGCTTCAAGAAAAAGGGACCGAGCACAGTGCCGCACACTGAAATCGCGTTTATTTTGCAGTCACCTTTTCTATGTAAATAAAATGCACTTCTGTGGACATTTCACTGCCATATTTCCAAAACAATACTCCTTTTTTAAATATTTTTTAAACGTCGTTCCTCAACTTGTTTGAACTCTGAATACAGGTATATACAGATGAGATGATATAGTATCTGTTCTACAGAAGCAACAAACACCATTCCCTTCCTTTCCTTCATTCCCCTTAAATGTAAACTTATGTAAACCCTCTCTCCATGGCAGTTATAGGAATGTACTTCTATATAGCTCTGCACCGCACAAGAAACGCAGCATTTAAGATTACGGGACCATGGCTAAACATGCCCTCCTCTGCCTCTAAACTGGAACATACCATTTGGTAAGCAAGCCTCGAGCAGCTCATGCAGCTCAAAAGCATTTACAGTGCGGTGTTCATCAGCCACCTGGAGGAACACGGCTTCGTACTGTTGCAGGCTCTTCCCATCCACTGAGCCTCGGGCTTTCAGCAGCGCCGGCTTCACTAGAGATGGGGCTGTGTCTACTAGCCTGGAAGTCAAAATCATTATCTTAAATCAAAGGTCTACATCGCCTTTTTAAAGGAAAATTACTTACATGAAAATTATCTACATTAACTTGAGTTTAAAAAGACACGTGACACTCCGACTCCGCAGGAACTTACTTGAGTTTAAGAGGCTTTGAGGAGAACACCCTCAGAGTGAAGGAAGATTCTTGCCCGGGTTCGAAGGTGGTCGGCAAAAGGATGTATCCCCCTTGTTCCAACTGCACTCGCTCGCCCACCTGTCCGGATAATAACGCTTTACTTTCTCTATAACTTCTGTCGCCATCATTGCCAATTGCAGTACAGATAATCCCCAAAACATGTGGTTCATGAGCTCTGGTATAATATTCAGTAAAAGTAATATTCAGTAAAAAGAAAGAAGCAACTAACCTGTCGGCTGTTGGTGTACTGCGAATTGACGAGTGACTTGTTCTTCTTGAAGAAAGCTTTGCTGATGGAGTCGAGGCCATTCTTGGACAGCGGGTAGGCTGTAAACCCTATTACCTGAAATCAGACGTTGAGTATACATAAATACATTAACACTATACTATATCTGTACAACAATTAAAAGCTTCAATTGGTTTCCATTTCTAATATTCTACAGAAATCTCCAGTTTAAATATCCATCACTTCTAAATTGTACTGCTTGAAAGATATAAAGATGTATTGCGAAATACCTTTGGCTCCATGACGGAATGTTGGTTCAGAGAAATGACGACTTCCTCCATGTCGCTGAGGATGAGGTGGAGCTGCGGGTTGATGTGGAAGGTGTCTGCGGAGTAAGGTGGAGTGAGAGCAGGTTCTTTTCCCACTGACCTTCGGGAAGATTGCTGTGTTCCTTCTTTACATTATTCCCTGCTTAATCTTTGAACAGATCCTCTATTTCGTATAAGAATAAAAAATGAGTCCACATAACATTGTTTTTCCAGTACTTTGAACCTTAAGCCAAATGGATTTCGAAGTAACTACTTTTATTTTTGGTGTCATTCTTCTTAACATATTTTAGTTAATTGGTCAAAAAAGCGTTACACTAGGCGCTTCCCCTCCCACCCATCACTGCTCGCCCGCGCCAGCCACGCCCCTCACCTGCGTTGTTCCTGCACCCGCCCGCCGTCACGCCCTTGAGCCATGTGCCCTGGTATACGCGGGACGTCCAGGGCGTCTTGTGGCGCAGGGAGGGCTCGTCCCGCGACGTCTCCCCGTCCAGGTGGATCACTTCCAGCTGTGTGAACGTCCGCACGAAGTCACTGTAGGACATCCTGTTGGGAAACAGATCAGATTTTGAAGCGCGTGGTTCAGGATGTGGATGTCTGATCTGGTTGGTTTATTAGTATCTGAGTTATGGATACCCTCCCGGCGTAAGATGAAACTTACCAGAACTCGCCCTCCGGTGTAAGCTTGAGGTTGAGTCGGTCCCTCTCATGCTGGTGGACGTCGTCCCACTCCGGGGCGTCGCGCCCTCTCCAGCTGCCCAGGTACTCTCCGCTGGTTCCAAGGGGCGTCCTCAACCGTACCAGACTCACCTGCTCCCCACTATACCGCTCAACCTGCAAGCGTCAGGGATGGTACAGGGTGCAAGGGTAAATGTGCACAGGCATTGGGGTGAGAAAGAATATGGTAAGGATGGAGCGACACATACATTTCCTTATGTCTATATATGCTGTGGAGCTATGACTGGTACCTTTTCTATGGCGTAGATGCGGTAATTGACGCCCATAACGATGCCATTGGCCAGTTTTTCCGGCTGCATCTTGGACTGGCCATGGTTATGGCCAGTCACGACGGCGGTGACGATGGACGTGAGGTCGAGTAGTTTAGCCAGGAGCCGCCCGCACGTCGTGGGGTCCGCCCGCAGGCTCACGCACTCCGCCACGCCGCCCGTGAAGTCCGACAGGCCGTCCAGGGATGTGCCATACTTCAGAGCCTCGTAGGATCCGTGGAGCCTAGAAGGAAGGGACATTGTTTATCAGACATAGTGCAGCAAAATCTACTTCAAGGCTTCGTTAGAGTGAAGCCTGAAAGTGTGAGTCTTGACTTACGCTACTTGGGACAGTCGCACAAGATAGGTCTCGTGAAGTAACTCATTACACAACACTCACTTTGCATAGGCCTTCTCCAAGAGTGCAGGCCAAAACTGGTTGGTTGATTGCGAGTGGACGAACACCAGCTTTCCGTTGACGGTGGGAAGTCTGTCGTCCACAAGCACCTCCCGCCACTCACCGCACCACCACACACGGAATCTGTGGGCCAAAGGCATTTTATAACTGCATTTAACAAATCTGATATGACAAGTTGAGTTTAGACTGATATTAGCTCAGTATACTGACATAACGAAGCAATTCAAGGAGAAATCCAGGCATCCTGGCACTACAGTGGCAGAAAAAAGGTTACTATGTCATTTCAGTATACCATTACGCAGTCCCGCCTCACCTAAACACACCACAGTAGCCGGCCTCGGGCTGAAAGTCCTGGTCGGCTGGCACCACC